CATGAACAGAAGGAAGGAATTTCTTTGGGTGTTAATAAGCTAAGGAAGAAATTTCTACAGGTACAAGTAAGCTAATTCTAGTGATGCTAATTCTAAAGAATCTCTTTAATTTTCAGTCTGGTAGTCATAATGTCTGTTAGCTTTGCCAACAGTTGTTTGAAACGCAGTGTTACTTTAGGTCCAGTACAGAGGTTATTTTGTCCAATTTTAACATTCCAAAGCTTTGAGAAGTAAGACATGCAAGGCAATTTCTTTGGGACAGCAGCCTCCTCCATTGTGAAGTGGCTCCATTTACAATCTGGTCCCACATAACGAATGACATTTCTGTCAATGATCTACCACAGTAGTCTGTGGTTTGCTGGGTAGCCAAGGAAAGGGGCCACGTGTGAGACCTGGCACGTGTGAGACCATGTGTGAGACCTGGCATGTGTGAGACCACATATGAGACCACATATGAGACCACGTGTGAGACCTGGCACGTGTCTCACCACGTGTGAGACCACAGTGGAGGCCTACAAACCCAGAGACAAAAAGTAACCACATGGGGTGGTCGCAAATGAAAACCTTCTAACTAAAAATAGTTCATGGTGGGTCCTAGTCCTGTCCTAGGCGGGTGTTTTTCACTAACAAAGATCATTCTTCACCTTAACTGAGCCTGTCTGTTGTTTTTTTGTATCTATGATAACATACCTTTAGAGCAGAATATCAAATTTCCTTGTTCCTCCAGACCCCTAAGAGCACAGGCATCACGGGGGGCGGGGGGCGGGGAGCGGGGGGTGGGGACCGGACACAGCACAAATTCCCTTATTGTTATTGTTATCATGTTAATTGTTGACTATTAACTATTCTGTACCCACCTATGTAAAAGTGTCTTATCATTTACTTTTTATCCAATCCTAGAGATTTCCTCACTTTGCTTCCTCCCATCTCCTCCCTAATCAGTCACCAATGGATTTCAGGTAATCCATTTGAACCTCCTCTTTTGATTGTATATTTTAATGTATAAAATAAGGTGTAAAACTGTCATTTTCTGCAGCATTTCTTAATCTGTTGAGATTTTGCATTCTGGCAATTGTCAGTTTGGTTCAAATAAACTCATCAAAAATTCTCCACAGGTTTGAGTGTTTTTTAAGTTGACAATATGTAGTAGGCTATACCATATGGGTTTGTGTATGTGCACTCTATAATGTTCACACAATGACAAAATTGCCTAAGGACATATTTCTCAGAACATATCTCCATCATTAAGTGTCACAGGACTGTATATATTTTTCATAATTCCATGAACTTGGGGAGAGGTCATTGCCATGGAGAGGAGTGGGGAGCAGTTTAGGAGGAAGAAGTAGCAGGGCTCTGATGATTGAGAGTGTGTGGCATGGGAAAACCAGATGTTAAGAGTGGCACCAGGTTTCTGCCTGATCCGTTGTGTAGTAGGCAGGTAGACATGAGCAGAGCAAGGATGAGAGGCCAGGTCCAGGAGGTCACCTAGGGCAGAAATCCTGGGTGCCTATCAATGAGCAATTGGAAGGTGAGACCTCACCCCTCCACACCCCTTTCCTCCCCCAGCATATCACCGGTCATGCAGTTTAGACAGCCCCCCTCGACATTTCCTCCATAGAGATAACATCTAGGCTTCAGTTGTATTTAAGCTCCAGACCCAGAAAAGCAGCAAAACCAGATAGATGACTCAATGACCTGGTACTGACCAATCCATGGTAATCAATCTGAGAGAGATCTGGTTGGATCACTGGGGAGAAACAGGACGGGGCTGTAGGAGGAGGTTGTTGGAGGTAATGGTAAATAGTCTAGTATGGGATTGGCTGAGAAGCTGAATACCTCCAGAGTGCATAGAATTATGGGCCAGAAGATTTGAAATAAAAGAAGGGCTCTTGGGCTTTTAGTCTCCTGGGCTCTCTTCCTTGAGGATGCCTGGATGATCTTGCTGAAGCTGTGTGCGATTCCCAGTGGATGGTATTTTGAATAGGAAGGAACTCTGGGTGCAGCCTAGGATTGGGCTGGCATGGCAGAGGGTGGCAGGGTTATTCTTCTTTGGGTGTTCCACAGGGAAGAAGCTCTGAGGCAGAAGGCTGCCATTCTTCCAAAATCATGTAGCTTCTGTACCTTCTGTTGTTTTAGTTTGTAAACTAACCTTATAGAAATAAGATAATTAAAAGCTAACAATGGGTCCTGGCTAGTGTGGCTCAGTGGATTGAGTGCCAGCCTGTGACACAAAATGTTGCCGGTTTGATTCCTAGTCAAGGGCACATGCCTGGGTTGCAGGCCAGGTCTCCAGTTGGGGGAGTGCAAGACGCAACCTATTGAGATGTCTCCCGTACATTGATATTTCATTTCCTCTTTCTCCCTCTCTCTAAGAATAAATAAAATCTTAAAAAAAAATAACTAATAAGGGGAATGACAAGAAAACTAAGGTGTTAAAGAGTTTAGCCTTAATTGATAGGTTTAAGTAACTAATGCATGAGGAATGCTGTTATTCCAAAATCATGAACCTTTTGAATAAAGACTCTTTCCTTTATCACCAAACTTTGCCTCTGGGATTTTACCTAGGGGGTGGTGGTGGGCAGCAGGACCCCACTTGCTGTTCAGTAACAAGACCACGGCCTTGAAAGGGCACATCTGGAAAACATGATTAATATTATAGGACTTCTAGCCAAGATGGAGATGTAGGGAGACACATTTTGCTTCCTCACACAACCAAAAGAAGGACAACAACAATTTTAAAAACAAAAAGCAACCAGAGCTGCCAGAAACTTGAACTGTATAGAAGTCTGACAACCAAGAAGTTAAAGAAGAAACATTCATCCAGACTGGTATGCTGAGACAAAGAAATATGGCCCAAATAAAAGAGCAGATCAAAACTCCAGAACAAGCCCTGGCTGGCGTAGCTCAGTGGATTGAGCGAGGGCTGCGAACCAGGCATCGCAGGTTCGATTCCCAGTCAGGGCACATGCCTGGGTTGCAGGCCATGACCCCCAGCAACTGCACATTGATGTTTCTCTCTCCCTCTCTCTCTCTCTCCCCCTTCTCTCTCTAAAAATAAATAAATAAAATCTTTTAAAAACAGATAATTAATAAAAGGGTGTGGATACAAGCTGGTGAATAATTGCATCCATATTTAAAAAAACAAACAAACAAACTCCAGAACAAGAACTAAGTGATAAGGAGATACCAACCTATCAGATGCAGAGTTCAAAACACCGACAATCAGGATGCTCACAGAAATGGTTGAGTGTGGACACAAAATAGAGGAAGAAGTAAAGGTTATGAAAAATGAAATAAAGAAAAATATACAAGGAATCAACAGTGAAGGGGAGAAAACTGAGACTCAAATCAAGAATTTTGAACAAAAGGAAGAAATAAACATCCAATCAGAACAGAGTAAAGAAATAAGAATTCAAAAAAAAAAAAATGAGGAGAGGCTTAGAAACCTCCAGGAAAGCTTTAAATGTTCCAACATCCAAATCATAGGGGTGCCAGAAGGAGAAGAGGAAGAGCAAGAAATTGAAAACATAATGAAGGAGAACTTCCCCAATCTGGCAAAGGAAATAGATTTCCAGGAAGTCCAGGAAACTCATAGTCCCAAAGAAGTTGGACCCAAAGAAGCACACAGCAAGGCACATCATAATTATATTACCCAAGATTAAAGATAAGGAGAGAATCTTAAAAGTAGCAAGAGAAAAGGAGACAGTTACCTCCAAAGGAGTTCCTATAAGACTATCAGCTGATTTCTCAAAAGAAACCTTGCAGACAAAATGGGGCTGGAAAAAGTATTCAAAGTCATGAAAGGCAGGACCTACATCCAAGATTACTCTATCCAGCAGAGCTATCATCTAGAATGGAAGGGCAGACAAAGTACTTTCCAGATAAGGTCAAGTTAAAGGAGTTCATCATCACCAAGCCCTTATAATATGAAATGTTAAAAGGACTTATCTAAGAAAAAGAAGATGATCAAAAATATGAACAGTAAAATGACAAGAAACTCACAATTATCATCAACTGAACCTAAAAACAAAAACAAAGTAAACAAACAACTAGAACAGGAACAGAATGACAGAAATGGAGATCACATGGAGGGTTATCAGCAGGGAGAGGGAAGGGGGAATAATGGAGGAAAAGGTACAGGGAATAAGTAGTGTAATTGGTAGGTACAAAATAGACAGGGGGAGGTTAAGAATAGTATAGAAAATGGAGAAGCCAAAGAACTTATATGTATGACCCAAGGACATGAACTAAGGGGGGTGGGGTGTGGTGATGGGAGGGTGTTGCAGGGCAGAGGGGAATAAAGAGGAGAGAAAAAGTGGGACAATTATAATAGCATAATCAATAAAATATACTTAAAAAATAAAGACTTTTCTAACCCTGGTTGGTGTGGCTCAGTGGATTGAGCACTGGTCTGTGAACCAAAGGGTCGCTGGGTCAATTCCCAGTCAGGGCACATGCCTGGGTTGGGGGCCAGATCCCCAATAGGGGGTACACGAGAGGCAACCACACATTGATGTTTCTCTCCCTCTTTTTCCCTCCCTTCTCCTCTGTCTGAAAATAAATAAATAGCCCTGGCTGGTGTAGCTCAGTGGATTGAGTGCAGGCTGCGAACCATAGGGTCACTGGTTTGATTCCCAGTCAGGGCACATGCCTGGGTTGTGGGCAAGGTCCCTAGTGGGGGCCATATGAGAGGCAACCACACATGTTTCTCTCCTCCTTCCCTCTCTCTCTCTCTAAAAAATAAAATACATAAAATCTTAAAAATAAGTAAAATCTTAAAAATATTTTTAAAAATAATTTTTTACATAGTTTAAAAAAATTCTATTGAGATCCTCCTCTAAGATCTCCCCTAAATTCTCAGTCTTTAAAACCTTCAAGCCGAAGGACCTGGAGCATGCTTCCTCTACCAGGAGTGCGCCTGTTCCTTTCCCCCTGCACCTTTCCCTTCCCCAAAGGCATTCATCTCCTAAACTTTAAGGGACCCCATAAGACTTGTAAGCATGGGAGAAATGGACCTAGGCGGCTCATCCAGGGCTAAATCCCTGAACCTGCAGTCCAGTGACCACTGCAGTCCAGTGAGTGGACTGCAGCCCCATCTTGGCTGACTTCTTTCCCATAATATTTCTAGAGAGCCAAGGCAGCCCTGCTTAGTCTCTCTCCTGTTGCTTCACCTGTCCTGGGCCCTTCCTTGTTTCAGCAGCTCCCCTTGCTCCCCGAAAAGTCCAGTACAGGAGAGGGGAAGGGAGGAGGGTTAATCCCCTTGGTGGAGCAATGCTGTAATCCCCTGGGGTGTGAAGCTGTAGCTTCCTGGTGAAGCAAACAGGCTCATGCTCCCCAGTTTATTAAACTCAATGTCTGTTCCTTTTGTTCCCTTTCCTTTATTAATAATTAGCTAAATACTGATGACATCACTTCTAACTGATGGATGGGATGGCTTCATTCATGAATCACTTAATAAAGCCAATTAGATCTTCTATTTACTTGGTTGAATTATGCTCTTTAAATGGGGTGAGGTATTCCATTTCTAGACCTGGACAATGAAAAAACAGCTACTGTATGATTCTCTGTGGAATGGGCTCCAAGCATGCAGAGGACAGGGGAATTACAAGATGAAGGACCCTGGGACCCTAAATGATTGTGTGGAGTGGTGCTGTCCCCACCAATCTGGGCTGGACTGTAACATAGTGAAAAATAATATGAACAGAGCTACTTCGTGTGTGTGTGTGTTCTGACTGGGAATCAAACCCACAATCCTGGTGTATTGGGATGATGCTCTGACCACCTGAGATTCCCAGCCAGGGCAAACGGAGCTACTTTTTGAAGGTGGAGCTACCATCCCAGGGGAACTTCCTTGCAGGTCTTACTCCTCAGAACTTTGGTATGAGAAAAGTGGACAAAATAACATTTGGACTGGGCCTAGAGCAGCTTTGCTGTCCAAACAACTATTTGTAAAGCTAATAAGAAAGCAGACATTATAACTACTGGACTGAAAATTAAGGACATTCTTTAGAAATAGCATCACTTTGGTAGCCTATTTGCACCTATAGAAATTCCTTCCTTCTGTTCATGTAATTATTGCCTTTCACTTTCTCATAAATACCCCTTGACTTCACCTCCTAATTGGAACACTGTTCTAGTTCCTGCCTAAATCAGTGTGCAATAGCTCTGTGGATGAAAAAAGGGATTCTATGGAAAGCAAACTCACTGGGTGAGGTGAGCTTAAATTCCTAGCTGCACAGGTCATGGTTTGGGCGGTCATGCCTCAGGCAAAACTTCTTTAGTAAAGTCTTATCTTTGCTTTAAGCAAATCCTGTCCATTTTTTTTTCCTGTGTATGTATATCAGTAAAATGCCCTGTTTTAGCTGCTCCTAATATGTGATCATCCCTCCAAGCCCCTCTTTTTAACTGGGGCCACCCTCAAGCAAACATATAATCTCACTAATTATCCTGTAGTCCAGTCCCTACTGTGCTTTCTCCCACCTGCACGTAATGCTCCTTAGTTCCCTCCTTAACCTTAAATGCATACAAGAAACTGCAAGCTGCAATTCTGGGGGACATTTGAAATCTTGCTTCCTGGCATATGCCATCAATTTTGGCTCAAATAAAGTCTTATAAAAATTCTCTACAGGTTTGGACATTTCTTAGATTCACAGCCTCTTGAATAGGTATGTTTTGAATTTCAAATAAATGCTTGTTGCCTCTGAAGCACTGACCTTTTATTTTTAGGTTAACAGCATGAACAAGAAATAAACTTTCATTGTGTTAAGCCATTGAGATCAAGGATTTGTCTATTACGAGAGCTATTGTGTGGGACCAAGGGGCCACATGCTAAACCTGACAAGCTTACAGGAGGCCTGCGTGGCAGCCTTACAAACTCAGACACCTAAGTAACCACATAGGATGGTCTGAAATTAAAACTTTTTAACTTAAAAGAAGTGCATGGTGAGTAGTCATGTCATAAGGCAGTATTTTTCCCTAACAAATGTCAATCTTCACTTTTGCTAAGTCTGTCTGTTATCTTTTCTTTTTAAAATTATATTTTATTGATTATGCTATTGCAGTTGTCCTGATTTTTCCCTCTTTGCCCTACCTCCACCCAGCACCCCCCCACCCCCTCCACTACCTCCAGCAATCCCCACATCACTGTTCACGTTCTTTGGCTGCCCCATTTTCTATACTGTACTGTACATCCCCATGGCTATTCTGTAACTACCTATTTGTACTTAATCCCCTCACCTCTTCACCCATTCCCCCACACCCCCTCCCATCTGACGACCATCAAAATCCTCTCCCTATCCATGATTCTGTCTCTGTTCTTGTTGCTTAGTTTTCTTTTAGATTCAATTGTTTATAGATATTATTTATTGCCATTTTATTGTTCATAGTTTTGATCTTTTTCTTAAATAAGTCCCTTTAACATTTATGTAATAATGGTTCGGTGATGAACTCCTTTAGTTTTATCTTGTCTGGGAAGCTCTTATCTGCCCTTTGATTCTGAATGATAGCTTTGCTGGTAGAGCAATCTTGGTTGTAGGTGTTTGTTTTTCATGACTTTGAATGTTTCTTGCCAATCCCTTCTAGCCTGCAAAGTTTCTTTTGAGAAATCAGCAGAGAGCCTTATGGGAACTCCCCTGTAGGTAACTAACTGCTTTTCTCTTGCTGCTTTAAAAAAATCTCTATCTATAAACTTTGGCATTTTAATTATGATGTGTCTTGCAGTGGGACTCTGTATCCATCTTGTTTGGGACTCTCTGTGCTTCCTGGACTTGCATGTCTATTCCCTTCACCAAATTAGGGAAGTTTTCTCTCATTATTTTTTTCAAATAGATTTCCAATTTCTTGCTCTTTCTCTTCTCTTTCTGGCACCCCTATGATTCGAATGTTGGGAAATGCAAAGGTGTCTCAGGGGCTGCTTACACTGTCCTCTTTAAAAATTTTTTTTTTCTTCTTGTCATTCTGGTTGGTTGTTTTTGGCTTCATTATGTCCCAAATCTTTGATGTGACTCAGTGTCATCCACTCTACTGTTGCTTCCCTGTGAGCCTTTGGTGTTCAGTTGCAAATAAAAGAACATCTGCCAGGCGGTGACTGAGAGATTTACTGGCTAAACAAGTGCGCCGAGACTGGACAGTAGGGTCTAGAGTTCAGTTATGGCATCAGGGACCCGGGCTTTTGGCATCTTTCTTCTCTGCCACCTTTTGCATGGAGGCCTTTGTCCTCATGGCTGTCATCCTGTCTTGGCTGCTACATCTCCAGATAGGACTAAGGGGAAAGGGCAAAAAGCTAGTTCAGCTGAGTCTATTTGTCATCACAAAAGCTTATTAGAAGCCCTGCCCCATGACTTCTGTTTTATCCTATTGCTCAGAATAGGTCACATGGCCAGAATTGCCACCTCTGAGTCCTCATTGAAAAGTGAGGCCGGGGTCGGGGGTAGCTCGGCCAGCTAACTGTGTAGGTCCCATCCCTGCAGCCTCACATTTCACTTAGGCCAATAAACATTTATTGTGTATCTACTGCTTTATAGGCCCTAGGTTGGGCACTGGAGTCACAGAGATGAGTCAGAAAGAGTTCCTGATCCAACCTGGTCTAGTGAGGCAGGTGCAGGAAGGGTGTGTTTTCCTGTCCAGTCTCAGTTCACTATCTCCTATGAATCCATATGCGGGCTTTTCTTTCTAAGGCACCACCCCTGCTCTGGGTCTGGGTGTCCAGGACCACACCTTTGTTTGGGATGGGCACGCAGGGGTGCTATGGAGATACTGTAGTGAGGAATAACCCTACAAGTAAGGTGAATGGGCCCAGTAAAGGCAGTCGGGTTGGAGCATCAGAGGGTGGCTCTCAAGGCTCCAGGAGAGACCCTGGTAGGTGTCCCCTGGACGCCTGCGTGTCTGTCCTCTTAGTGACTCAGTGGTGTCCCGCTCACTGATGGGGCTGCATGGTTTGGGGACACCAACACGGCTCCTATAGAGATGGCTCTGGGCCCTAGTGGAAGATGAGACTTGCCGTGGCAGACACTAGTGGGGGCTGGCGGTCTCGGGCGTCGCTCTGCTCCTTCTTCACAGACTTCTCTCTCCACACAGCCCACTCCATTTCTTTCCCTCATGAGTCCAGGAGCCAGCTCTAGCCTTGGGACAGGCAGCTTTTCTCTAACTCATCTAATGCTCAGTCTTTTCCGCCATTTGCTGAAAACAATCCCCCTCTGAGGCAGTGGGTACCACCTGGTCAAGCTGCTGCTGTAATTGGGAGGAAGGGCTGGATAACTAAACAGTTCAGCGGTGAGGAGAGGTAGTAAAAGCAGCAGTTCATGTTTCAAAACTATTGTCCAGTCTCACAGATGTACAAGCCAAAGGCCCATGGTTAGGGGATTGAGGAGAGGTGAGAGTCATCTTGTGCCAGAGTGAGTGTACAAGGATGAGGGTCTGTCGGGCCAAGACATGACCCTGCCAGTGGGCTCGAGTCTGGAGGCAGCACGACTCTCAGAGGGCCGGGCGGTGAGGGTGTGTGTGTGCATGAATAGGCTCCAGCCACTTTCTCAGGCCTCTTTCCCAGGGCTGGCTGAGCCCCATAAAGCATGGCTGACCCCAACTGTATGACAAGCCCTTTTCCTCAGGACCAGAACCTCCCTGGAAGCTCCCTGAAGGCTCAGAGGCTCTGGGAACTTATGAAACATGACCTGCTGGACCCCAACGGCCAGGCCGGACCCTGCGCCCAAAGATTGCACGGAAACAAGCAGCAGCCAGCCTGAAACACCCTGCTCTGCAACCGCCTGGGACCCCATGAAAACCCAAAGCCCTAATGCCCTGGGGCTGGTGCACATCTCCACACCTAGCCCTTTCCCTCTGTGGGAAAGTAAAATAAAACTTTACTTTCTTCTCTTTGTGAATTCTTTCACAGGCCGAGTCGCCCGCCCACCACCCTAACATGCACATGTGAGGACGTGGGGTCGGTCAGAATGCTCCTGAATGCAAGTGTCCAAAACCCACCCCATGGTCGTTTAAATAGTAGGGATTTGCTACTTTTTCTTACAAGAAGTCCAGTGGTCAGCAGTACCAAGGATGCCCAGTGGTCCACGGTCCCAAT